TGCGACGACTCTTCAAACACGTTATTTGATGATCCAGATATTCCACTCAATGATAGTGATGATTACCTTGTAGGTATCCTTTTTATAAATTTGTAAAACACTTTGATTTATTAATTACTTCATTCATTACTTAATATTAATTTTATTTCAATTATTAGTTTCGTGGAGCACTTACTCAGAGCTATATAGACAGCTCACAATTTTTTGGGAGATTAAATTTTATTCAAGATGGGTTAGGTTTACAGGTTATTAAATTTTTTCTTGCTTTAGATACAATTTATATTTTTAATAATGTTTTATTACAGTGATGATTATCTTTATTTTTATAGGATAACCCCGGACCGTCCGGAGTTCCGCCATTCAATGTATGTATGATACTTATTTAAATTAGTAATTCAATTGAATAATTAATATCTGCAACATTAATTGTTTTATTTTTCTTATCAGTTGAACGATGCCATGATATTGGTACCACTTCGTCAGCGTGACTACAATACATACCGGGCGAATGAAATTACCTACCGTGCCAGAATCGATGATGATAGGATACCAGAATATTTAAGAGAAAGACCGTTGATAACAGCCGTGAAAATTGTTAGAGAATTATTCACTCTGTTAATAGAGCGCACTTTTGTTGGGTTGAGACCCACGGATCTAGTGAGATTCTGTATCCAGGCAGATGGATTGGATAAGCCAATATCATCCACTTTGCAACAAGTCAGAGATTTCACTCTAGAGAAGCTTCTTGGGATCGTTCTCAAAGTTTTACAATCGAAGGACAAAATAAAATTGTCGGATGGATTTACCGTCGATGTGATAACGGTGAAACGGGATGTCGGAGCAGGAGACGGTACTAGGAGAGTTATCAACGCGAGATCACATTCAAGTAAGAGCGAGGAAAAGAAATGCAAGAAAGTTTATTATAAGCTATGCCTTGCCGTTGCCAAAATTCGGAAAGAATTACTTCAAAAGACAGTTCAACCAATGAGATTGACCAGCTTCGAAAACGATCAATTATCTTCATTCCAAGAGATGATATTGGGCTATGTTGTGCAAAGGCTATTGTCAGGGCAATTGCTTTGAATGATGGGGATACAAGATCCACAAATGCTTTCCGCAAGGCATGTCGTCCAGCGTTAATGATGAGGGCAAAACAATTACATGAAGACGCCGATGTTCCACTAGGTCCATGCACATATTCTGAAATTGCAAGGTTTGAGGAATTTTTAGACACACAAATAGTGGTATTTTCCTCCACAAATGGAAACGGGGTCAGTTTTTTAACTATAATTTAATCATATAAAATTATTAGTTACATGCTTGTTTCTTCGTGATATTTATATATTGTTTTTTCTTCTTCTAAATTTGGTATCAAAAAAAGAAAGATTAGATTTTCTTTAAAATTTTAAGAATATACTTTATTATATTGATTTCTTCGATTTCGACTTCAATGAATTTAAACTGTTGTTTAAATAAAATAATGTTGTTTTTTCTATTTTTGACTGTTTTATGATCAACTTATTATTTTATTTATTTAATTAAAGAAAATAGACCTAGTAGCATTAATTAACATTTAAAGGAGAAAAAAAGTAATTTTTTTT